TGCATCAAATTCAATTGTGTTAAGCTTGGATTCAAGCTGCGGATATATATTCACAATGTGCAAACACAAGTTACTTGTTTTGGGGTGGAATTAGATGTACAAAACTAGACTTAAATGTCATGTTATAACACATGAAGTTTATCCAATGCCTTAAAGAACAGAAAAGAAAAATTAATGCGGTCATAATTTAGGAGTACTGTATACCCACTTATCCAAGCACCAACTGAGAGAGTCCTATGCAATTTAAACCCTCCATTTCTCTCACTCTATGCTGAGATATTTCCAGATGTTTACCCAGGAGCTCTATTAACACTTCAGGTCCTTTACTTATTGATTGTCATGTGAGATTTGAGGCTGGACTCGCTGGTGGGGGGTGTTATGACAGATCTGAGGGAGGACGCTTTGATAGGAATGAAATATAATTAAAGGTTTGATGCCACGTCGAAGATGAAATGTGCCTAGGTGAACTTTACTCTTGCGCTAAACGCAGACGAGATTGTTCATTCACTCTAAATTAAACTCATGCTAATCCATAAACGGTCGTGTCTGGTTCACTTTATATGGCTGAGCAATGTACCCGTCCGACTAAGCTTTATATTATGCCAACACAAATACATTCAGCAGGAATGCTCAACAGGATCCGTTTTTTATAGTACATTCATTCATTTTCTTTTCAGCTTAGTGCCTTTATTAATCAGGGGTCGGCACAGCGCAATGATCCACCAACTATTTCAGCATATGTTTTATGCAGCTAATGCCCTGCAACCCATTACTGTGAAACACCCATGCCCAGTTTACTTGTAGAGTATAACTTTGGACTTTGAAGAGGAAACCAGAAACCCACATGAACATGGGGAGAACATGCAAACTCTACACAGAAATGCCAACTATCCCACCTGAGGCTCGAACTAGCGACCTTCTTACTGTGAGTGATACAGTATGTGCCACTGTGCCACCTTTTTATAGTACATTTAGCTGTATATTTCTTGTATTTTATTTTATACAGTACGTGTTTCAGTAAATGGGTTGTTCAGAGCTGACTCCGTTTGATTGCATAAATAAGTTGACAAATAATAATAATAATAATAAGTAAACCATTCTTAGTTGATGTGTTGGTCTCATCTGATCTTGCTTGTTTTCCAACCTGGCCTAAATGATTTATTCTAGTCTAGCTGATGTTCTTTTAGTAACTACTGTAAGTCAGTATATTGCTTTACTATTATAAGAGACCTCATGTTGGTTTCTAAACTTAGCTAGCTGCCAAGAAAATGTTTAGTGTAACTTAACAAAAACTAAAATAACAGTAAAAATGTATTAGAACATTACAATATAGTAACTGTGTAATTAAACATAACGCAATATGTATATTTAAATGTTAATTTCCTCAGGAAAATTCTAATAGCATTTGGAAATAATTTAATTGATTTTTTTTTGTTTAATTGTTATTTTATTTTAGATTACATACAGTTGTGCAGTATTGTAATGTTATGTACAGTGTTGCCCTAACAGGCTGCTGGAGAACAGTCCTTGTCATTCTACCGAACTACAAATCCCATCATGTCCTGCATTCTGACACCAGTTCTAGACTCCTTGATTACACACAGATGCAGATCTTTCGTACTGATTACTTGGACTATTAAAGCACCACAGACACACTAATTCTTTGTTTGGTATAGTTCCATATTCTAGTGTTCCTTGTATTCATGGTTCGCTCTATCTGTTTTTTTTTTTTTTTATTCTTGGAGTGTTTTTTTAGATTGTGATAGTTTTCTGTCTCCCCCGAACTTTGCCTGTTATAGTGACCACTCTCTGGATAATCTACATGCTACCATCTGTCCCTGTTTGACCCCATGCGATCTGACTATTCTTATAATAAAGCTGCACGTGGAACTCCATCTCTGTTACCACTTTAGTCATTATAAAAAATAATATTATGATATTTTAATTTAATTAATATTCTGTTTTGGATTAAGCACAATCTGATCATTTATAAGCTAACAGGCAAATAATTTTAGTGTTAATTACATCTTAATGTTGTCAAATCTCTGCTAAAAGTCAAGTTGCTTTAGATATTAATATTGTTTTGTTGTTTTACTCTAATGTCAAGCTCAATTGCTCTTGTTTTTCACAAGTCACTCTGCAAGTCTCTCTTTCTCTGTCATTCTTCCTCAAAGCAACAGTGTTATTTCTGCTGTCAGTAAAGAGATGCTGTGTTTCTTAGCTTGGTAATAGTCTGTGCAAAGCTGAGCAGAGCGGTTTAAGGATGTTTCGTCCCACCCCAATGTCTCTCCAGAGCGCCTATCGATCTGTGACAATCTCCAATCTGCCCCCCAAGAGATTGAAGGCAATGATGGACTTTCTTAAAGTGCTTTGTTTTCTTCTGCTCCTCTCCTCCCCTCTGTCAGCTCTCATCACCAAACACCTGTCCACCTGTTTGTGTGTCGTGCATGCATGTGTGTGTGTATTTGAGTTCAGACTAAATCACGAAGGCTTATGAAGAAGGGTTAGAAAGGAGAATTAGAGGGGGGAGGTGGAATAATTGAATTGGAAGAATGAATGGTGCTTTTAAACTGTGTGAAAGAAATTAGCAGCACACAAGCATGCAAATTTGATGGTTATTCATTTTTATAAAATGTGAAATATTATTAAAGCTTTTAATGACTGTTTTCTGTTTGAATATATTTAGAAGTATAATCTATTTAATTAATGGTAAAGTTGAATTTTAGCAGCCATTCTTCAGTGTTAAGTGTTGATGATCCTTTAGAAACTATAATGTTAGCATATTGATAGTATATACAAATAATGAGTATTCAATTAGTCTATCATGATTGTAAATGATGAGAGGCATCTTTTATCACACACCTTTAAATTGTTACAGATATTAGGCAACCTTTAGATATTAGGTCGTCGATATTTTGTTCCCAGATGAGCAAGAAATAGGACAAAATTATAATTAATACCTCAAATGCTTTTAAATCCCTCCTCTCTTAGTAGCAGTTGGTTGCCAGTATACTGGATATTTATTAAGAGAACAGGTTATATGGTACTTTAGGTTTTTAAATGACTTATTTATATAAATTCCAAATGTGAAATTGTTAGATGCCTCTGTGAGTGAATGCTGCAACTGAAATTTCCCTACGGTGACGAATAAAGTTAAGTAACTAACTGGACTTAAAGAGACTTAAATTTTTCACTGTTTACTCGCCTTGTGTGTTTTATTTTTTTGTTTGTTTGTTTGTTTGTTTTTTTTTGTTTTTGTTAAATAAAAAAGAAGATATTTTGAAGAATGTTGAAAATGTAACCATTGACACCCATAGAAGGGAAAAATAAATACTATGCTGTAAAAAAAATGTAAATTACACAGTATTTAACTGTATTTTACTGTAGGACAGGTATGCAGTATGTTACTGTATTTTAAAACTCTACAGTGAAAATTACTGTATATTTTACAGTAAAGCTATGCAGTACTGTAAATACATATAGAGCAGAGATGGCCAAAGTAGGGCCCGTGGGTCAAAGTTGGCCTATAACTTTTGATTTGGCCCACCATCTTATTTGAGAATATAGTGAGAATGATGGAGAAAGTTGGGGAGAATGCCTTTAACAGAGATCGTCATTTCTTATTTGATGTAACCTTTTTTGTTTATTTTATTGCAGAGCTATAAAAAAAGCTAACTAAAATTAAATGCTGTAAATTAATCTGAGTTTTCAAATGTAAATACTGTCAGGTAATGGATAAAAGACTTTGAAGAAGACATTAGCGAGCAAATCAAGACAAAAACTAGTGTAACTCCATTCTGTTTAAAACTGTTATAAAGTTAAATATAAAATGTAATATAAAATATACTGGTTAATATAAAGCAATGTTTTCTGGTTATTTTAAAATATTAATGAATTAATAAGAAAATTAACCATGGTAACAGTGGCATAGCGGATGGGCCCGCAAGGCATGCACCGCGGGGGGGGGGGCCCCGCGTGATTAGGGGGCTTTTTAATAATTGAAAATCCGGCAACCGCAATAATCAAACTCTTGGGAACAACTGTGGTCGGAACCAAAGTTCACAGGTCTTTGTTCACTGAACTCCTCTCAAGCGGTGGACTACTTCATTCTGATTGCTTGCTGCCGAACCGCGTCAGAGCTCATACCATAAAGTTGACTTGATTTCAGCTCTCCTCGACGCTCACACCGGAGAAGACGCACCGCGCTGTTCCTCGCCGCCGGTTCTCATTAAAAATGAATGACTTCTGGCTACTTTGACGCTCTCGCAGCTTTTGGTTTGTGATCGCTCCTCAGTTTGTGAAGGCTTCCCCGCGTTGTCGCTCCACCACGCCCCCTTTCCCGCTCCTCAGTTTGTGATCGCTCCTTAGTTTGTGATCCACCTTAGTTTGTGATCGCTCCTCAGTTTGTAAAGGCTTCCCCGCGTTGCTCCACCCCCAATACCCCCCCCCCCCCCACCATATAACTTTTACAGGAAATTGTTAACAGTGTATGGAAGTCAATGTCTACCAGTTTCCAACAATTTTCAAAATATCAGATTTTGAGTTCAGCAGAAGAAAATAAATCTTTAGAATAAAGTAAAAGGTGAGTTAATGATGACATAATTTTCATTTTTGGGTGAACTATCCCTTTGAGCTCCTATTAAATCCAGTTAACCTGAGAGACTGAATGGTTCCTTTATTATGTTAGTTCTCACCATTAACAAACCATTAGCTATTACTTTTAGCTCAATAAACTCCTAATGTGCTGCTTATTAATATCTCTGAAGGTACGGGTTGGGTTTATTGGCTAGAATTAGGGTTGTGAAATAAGACTAATTAATTAGCTGAATATTTTCTTATTAATAACTAAACAGACAAAATCTTAATAATAGGCAGGTAATTAAGTAGGCAGCCACTATTAATAGTGAGAAATGGTCCCTATAATAAAGTGTTAACATATATGCTTCTATTTACACTCAACAAGATGATTAAAATTTATTTATAATTTGTCATTTCTGTAGCTTGTGGTCCTGACTAAAACTGGCGAATATCTGTTTCGGATCTCTCCCTGGGCCAAATATGTCACAAAAACAGTGGATTCTGTCACTTATGACTGGACCCACTGGGACCCTCCACAACCATACCAGGTGAGTGTGTATGTTTCTCATTATTCTCATTTAGGGTTTTTACATTCGATATATACACTTGCAGATGTGTTTTGGGATGGCTGTACAAATTGTGCTTTTATCCGTTGGTTTAGAGGTCAAATAAAAGCATAGTTCATCCAAAAATTACAAATAAATTGCTTTTTCTAAACCTTTATGGTTTTCTTTATTCTGTTTAACACCAAAGAAGTTATTTTGAGTAAAGGTGAAAACTTTAACCATTTACTACAATAGGAAAAAACAAATACTTTGAAAGTCAACAGTTTTCAGCCTTTTTTCAAAAATAGTATGAGTGTACAACAGAAGAAAGTCAACCATTTTTGGAACAAGCAAAGTGTGAGTAAATAATTTTCAGATTTTAAATTTTTGGGTGAACTACTGTACCCATTTAACCCCTATTGGTTTTAATGCAACTTCCCAAAAATCAAAACTTTGAAAAACAGAAAGGAAAAAAAAAACTTTCTTGTAGCTTTTTAGACATTTAAAATTTTATTTGAAATTGAAGGCCTCAATAGGTGAATGGTGAAAAGGTTTTTAGTTATTACTCAACAGTATTTGTAGCACTGAAACGAGTGTTATAAAGCCATTTGACACTAACATGAATTTGAGAAAGACACATAAAAAGGCAGATGATTTTTAAATCATAGTACAAATAGCAATATTTAGACTTAACCAGCCACTGTTATTACAGTTATTTTTTTCACAGTAGTTGCTACTGTATTACCGATTGGACTTAATTTGCTTTCAGAACTGCCTTATTATTTCATGGCACAGATCATCTTCAGAGATCTTGGTCTATGCTGTATATACTCTGCATGTCACAGTAGATATCAAGCCTCTTTTTAAACCTGGCAACCTGTTTCCATTATTCTGTTCTCAAGTTTGATGAAACTGTGTGTATTGTACCCTCAAGGTCCTGTTCTTTGTTGCTGTTGTATGTTCAAAGATGTTCTTGTGCAGACCTCTATTGTAACGATTTCTTTTTAAATTACTGTTACCAATCTATCAGCTCAAACCTCTCTAGTCAGTCTCTTCTGATCTTTAGCTTCAACAAGGCATTTTCATCCAAAGAACGTCTGCTCGTTGGATATTTCCTTTCCCCCCAGAAAATCCTTTGTAAAACCTAGAGTTGGTTGTGTCTGAAAATATCAATATATCAACATTATCTGAAAAATGATCACCTCACTTGATCACCTCACATACAACCACCACTTGATCACCTCACATACAACCATGCTACATTCAAAGTTAACAATATTTTAAAACATTTATTTGCGGACACTATGGACCATAGTGTCAGACCAAATGCTAAAACACAATTGCAGTCGATCACCAGTAAGGGGCTTGTCTAATAATATAGGGGAAATATCTAAAAGGGGTCATGTAGGGTTATGTGCATGTTTAATTTTATGCCTTTAATTATCAACATTATTTTAAAAAATAGCTTAGTACATGTTTAAATCTCCTCTAGATGCATTGGACTAGCTGATCAATATTTTGTACCAAAATAGAATTGTTTAAAATAAGTTCTTATTAAAATCTACAGCTTTGAAACTTTGTATGCATAAAGTCACAACAAGCAGTTTTGATATTGTGTTATATTTTATATTTTATCTTTGTGCTGTCACTGTTTTACTATAAATATATGTGGTTCAGTTTGACCCAAGCATTTACAGAGTATACATATTTCCTACATATTTCTTGAATCTTTTACACACATAAATCATATCTGTGCATGTTTCTCACACACAAGCACATGCTCTCAAGGGGCTGTTACAGGTGAGGGCAGATGCTTTCTAAGCTGTCTGGAATGAGGTGTTGAGTTATGGTCTCTGGCATGATTTAACCTATTAGAGTCTGGTTGTTTCCTCCAGAGGGTCAGTGGAGAACCGTACATCACACCAGTCATCATCTACTGTAAGCTGTCTCCAAGAACCGAGAGCTCCCAGTTTAACCCCCCACACACACTTAAAAAAAAATACATTTGAAGTCAGAATTATTACCCTCCCTGAATTATTAGACCCCTTGTTTATTTTTCCCCAATCTCTGTTTACCAGAGAGAATTTTTTTTCAACACATTTCTAAACATAATAGTTTTAATAACTCATCTCTAATAACTGATTTATTTTATCTTTGCCATAATAACAGTAAATAACATTTTACGAGATATTTTTCAAGACACTTCTATACAGCTTAAAGTGACATTTAAAGGCTTAATAGGTTAATTAGGTTAACTAGGCAGGTTAGGGTAATTAGGCAAGTTATTGCATAATGATGGTTTGTTCTGTTGACAGTTGGAAAAAAATGCTTAAAGGGGCTAATAAAGTTCTTAAAATAGTATTTAAAAAATTTATAACTGCTTTTATTCTAGCCGAAATAAAACAAATAAGACTTTCTCCAGAAAATAAAATATTATCAGACATACTGTGAAAATTCCCTTGCTCTGTTAAGCATAATTTGGAAAAAAACATCATTTGGGCTATAATTCTGACTTCAACTGAATATATATTAATTTATTTTATTTTTACTGTTTTTTGCTGTGATGCTGTAATGCTGTGTGAGTGCGTGAGGAATATTTTAATGATCTAAAGAATATTTTGTTTTAATAAAAGATTCTATTCTGAAAGGACAAGCGTCTATGAATGATAAAGGCTCTTTAAGAAACCCTTTTTTATTTTGTAAAAATGTATTTATTTATTTATTTTTTTACTGGCTTATCATTTTTACAGTGTACATGAGTCAATAAATAAATGCAATGTCTGGCCAATAAATATGTGATTGATAGTGGTTAACCCATGATTTGGTATGATTGTGTGTACAGTCAATACATAACTGTATAATTTATTGTAAATATACAACTTTTTCGTAACTTTTTGATTTAGTGGCTAATTTGTATAAATCCATACAATCTAATTTGTACAATTTAGTATGATTTGCTCATCCCACAATGACGGTTGGGTTTAGGGGTGGGGTTAGATGCCACTCCTCCTTTTTAATATCATACAACTTCATACGACTGAACTCGTTTGAATTCGTATGTATTAGCCACTAAACTGGCAAAACCTAAAATACTTATGTTTTCTTGTGAGATCAGGCCGAAATATTCACAAAATCAAATCTAAAGCCTTCAACATTTCTCTGTGCCACTGAGATTTACAGTAAAGATGTTTCAACCCCTGTGCAATTGATATTCAACTACTGCTGGCTAGTCTGCATAAGAGAAGAGGGGCTTAATGATATGTAAACAATAATGATAAAATACCCCAGCACCATAGGAGACCATGGATAAAGAAGCACACTTTTAGGTAAAAAACAAAAAACTATTTTTTTTTTGTGGGGTGGAGGTAGTTTATGATAGAAGTCAAAGCAGGAGGGAATGTTTGCAGGACCGTGGTGTTCTTCAGACGAGCATGTGGCCTTCCTGTGGCTCTTGATCATTTATCTTCGGTAGCCATTAGCATCTCTGAAGCACCCTGCTCTTACGGCGACCCTTCTTCCGTGTTAGTAATGACACTCAAAAACGCCTCCTCTTAAGTGGCCCGCCACATTAAACAGCCAATTTAATCGGAGGCTATTCAACAATTGCTTTCACCCTCTTGATGTCTTCATTTCACAGAAGAACCATTTGCAAAAAGGCTTTGATATGGGCGGTTCTTCCACAGTGACAATGAGACATACTTTCCTTTGATATCTATTCATGGCATCAGACATTCATACAGCGGCTGTGGTCAATGGCATCATGCTCATAATCAAGTTTTTTCTAGAGGAGATGAATTGGTGACACAATGTCGTCTGACAGTTATGGCGGTTGCTGCATGATTAAAGACAGCGAATATTGCTTTTTGCTTTCTGGAAATGGCTCCATTTTCAGGGAGATACAATTGGTTTAGGTTTTCTTTTTTTGAATTTCCCTTCTTTGTGTCTAGTTATGTAATTGCATGTTATGTCTGGCAAAAAGGATGAAAGATTGCCAAAGTCAAACTAATGTTATGTTTAAATTATATTGTAAATTATATTAATTCATTCATTTTCCTTCGGCTTTGTCCTTGATTATCAGAGCTCACCACAGCGGAATGAACCTCCAGCTATTCCAGCATACGTTTTACATAGCGTATTTCCTTCCAGCTGCAACCAAATACTGGGAAACACCCTTACACTGTAATTTTCACTCACTTGTAGATCTTTTTCTATGCTGTTGCATGGAGTGCGTCATAGTGACCAGCGCCTTCCGATAGCGTGCTTAGAACTTCCGTTAAGAATTGTCATCAGCCAAAGCAGCCTTTCTCAACTGGGTGTTAATACTGTTATCAGTGGTTTACGGAGTGTTTTTGTGATGCAAAACTTTCATTTTGAAAGAAAGACGTGTTAAAGATGTTATACTTCTGTCAGATGCAGTTCAAGCATGAGATAAAAACGTTCTACTGTTCTTCTCTGTCTGCCATCAGAGCAGATGTTGAAATAAAGTGTCAGTTTCCTGACCTTTCAGCTGTTATAATGTACTCCGCGGCTCTTCAATAGACACACACACACACACACACACACAACTTCGCTGCATTATAAAGAGCAAACCATATTACTGGCATAAAACTAACAGAAATGTAAGCCATGCAATTTCCAAAAATTAGTTATAAAATTATGTGACTGATACTATTCTGGCTGATTTACATGTTGATATTCTAATCGGGAGCAGTTTTTGTTTTTTCGGTTAGTTTGTGTTGTGTAGCATTTACCATGGTATGTTTTTCTGTCATTTCAAAATGGCACTTTATTTTTACTTTGTGACATTTATTCAATCAATGTGTTAGTGGGACAGTGCAGTAGGCTATGTGTGTGTCAAACGTTTTGGTGAATTACATTTGTTTGGGTTGGTTATATATTTGAAAGAAAGAGAAAAATTTTCACTTTAACGATGTCGAGGCTTAATTTAAACGGCACAAGATGGCATCTGACGAGGGAAAAATACCTTGCAGCAGTTGTTTTCCATCACATTAGACCAAATTTTAAAAACAATCAGTCCAGGAGGTTGTGCTGATCGACAGCAGTATTACTTCAAAGACATTAAAAGCAAGCAGCTGCGACCGGAAGGTTAAAGTACCATCCTTGCAAATACACGAAAAGCATAATGCGTAACTTTGCACTCTAAAAAAAAAGGTCTATATATTACGGCCAATTTTGTTAACTTATTTCACCTATAGCGCATGTCTTTGAACTGTGGGGAAAACTAGCAATCTTATTGCAGTGAGGCAACAGTGAGTGCAGTTAAAGCTATCCACTGAGCCACCGTGCTACCCCATTTTTTTAAATGTTAAATGTAACTTTTTCCTTTTTTTGGTTAAATTATATTCAATAAAATAAGTTCATCAGGCTAATATCATGTCTTTATTTAATGAGAAAATCCACCTTATGTTATATATCGTATTTAATAATTTTAATAATAAAAATCTGAGGCTAAGTTTTAAGCATTATGATTTGCATTTGCTGTGGCATCATTTCAGTGTTTCAACTTTTTTTTTCTGTACAGAGTATTTCTTTTTTTTTTGCCAAGATCATGCATATAGTTTGCTCAAAGTTGTATTCTCTACATTGTCAAACTTCAAACTGTAGTCTTAGACTGAGAACTTTAGTCTCCGTTGTATTGTTGCAAGCGTTCAGTGAAGTCAAATATTTGTGTCGTGTTGTGTTGCGTCAGGATCTTAGAGGTAACCCAGATGCTCAGCCAAACCTTCTAGCAAAAAATCTTATCAAACTCCACTGAAGAAGAGTGAAATGATATCTGGGTGCTTTCTTACTCTTTCTGTAAACCTTTCTTCTCTTTCTCTCTCCTAGTTCCAGCACCCCAGACCCCCTCGGCCCAGCAGTCTTCGAATCTACGAGGCTCATGTGGGCATCAGTTCGCCTGAGGAAAAGATTGCCTCGTACAAAAACTTCACCCGAGATGTGCTTCCTCGCATTAAGGATCTCGGTGAGTGATGAAATCTACCGAAACACTGGCAAAACACACGTCAAAATGATACAAACCAAGCTCTTCGAGGGCCAGTCTATAACCCTGAGCTCCTGGGCCAAAAGAAATCAATGGCCTTTAAAAGCCAAACTTACTGCTGATCAAAGAACTTATCTGATTTGCTCAAATTGATTTGAAAGACATACAGTTAACTATGACATACTGAGAATGTTTTGGTCCATTATATAAAGCGCTTGTGTTTATCTTATTTATTTTTTATTACACTAGAAGGCAGCAAAGGAGGATAAGTAAAAGGTTTCAGATATCATTGCTTCAGAAACACGAGGGTCAGTGGCTTTAGAAAAGTATTCAGTATTCTATTTGATTTAAAGGGGTGGTCCAAAGTGTATTTTTAAGGTTTGGTTCTGTTTATTAGACGCAAAGCAATGTGTTTCCATGCTTCCTTTGTAAAAAAAAAAAAAAAAAATCTTGTTATTTTTTTATATATCTTACTTTGATTATATACTGCTAACATCAAAACGACTATCGTTTTTCCTACTTGCTCTGAAAGGCCCACCCTCAAGAGGCTCTGATTGGTCAGCTAACATAATGTGCTGTGATTCGCGTATTGGCTCCACATCACCAGGAAAAGTGTCACACCTCAACAAGCATGCGCTTTGGCGCTGTGTATACACTGTCAGTCAGAGTAGATGTTAGCAGTTTAAACCTGAATCAGACAGAAAATGACACAGAGGACACAGCTGAATCTCACGCCTGCTCTCTAAAATAAAATCTGACAAGTCGTCACTTTAGAATTATAAGGTTCTATCTGACATTTTCGTCAAAGTTAAGTTATTGACATATTCTTATAAAATGACAATATAGGGTGTTTTTTATGAGTTGTTTACATTTTAAGACTTTTTATTTAAAAACCAAATGTTACACACGTACTGTTTTCTATATGGAATGCAAAAACTTTGAAGCTCAATATCTCAAAATCATTCAGAACGCAGATAGAACCTTATAATTCCAAGGTGACCGAATCTAGCACTGAACTGAGAGAGATTTATGAAGCTGTCCTTTGTCACATGCTATATAATTTTTATAATTATATGTAACATAATTGTAATTCTGGAAGCCCAAATACAGAAACAGAACAAACTCTATGGAAATAGCAGCGTTTGCCTTTGTCTCTGCTATATTATTACAGCCTCAAGCTGCGCCCCCTTTAGTTATGCACGTGGTGAATGTGCACAACCTGAAGCATTTGTGTAACCCGGATGTATTTTTTGTAAGCCCCAAACTTCATTCGCTGTAGGCTTTGCTAAGTTAACTCTGTAAAAGCCAATGTCTCCCTTTGCATTGAACTTTGAGCGTATTACATTCAGAGATGTTGTTTATGTTCACACATCTAGATTACACATCAACTAAAGTTTAAAACAAGATATTGTAGTGGACCACCCCTTTAATGTTCTGTTAGATTAGAGTCATTACATAAAAGACTTGAAAATTATATAAAGTATAACTAATTTGTACTCCTTCTACTCAAAAAAAGAGGCTGTTTCTCAATTCCAAGAATGCAGAAACTGGACCTTCTTGTGAAGACTGGTCTTGCCAGCTCACATTGAAAGAATGTGCTTTTTTCCTGATGACCTTCATGCATTTTTCACCGAAAACGTTTTACACATTACAGCATTCATACAACGATTTATTGTTTTCCCCCTTTTTGCAATATATACTATGCATAAAGACTTTACAAATATACTTTGCACAATACAAATAAAACTGATTTTAATACAATTTCAACAAATGAACAACCTTAATGTCTTACATTTATTAAGATTTTCGTAGTAATGTTTACTTGCACCTTCTCATTTAGGGAACTTCTGACTGGTAAATAAGTTATATTTCAGAACTTTAATAATAAAACTATATAAAATGTTGAGCTTCCCACCTCCAGTCGCAATGACTTCTGGGACTTCTAGAGCGAGATCGGCGGTCAAGTCTGCATCGGTGTGTCCTCGATATCAAGAACACATACAAGAACACTTTCACGCGTCCTTTATTCTTGCGTCCTTTAGTTTTAGAACTAACCTTTGGCAGATGATGATGACGTTACACGAGAATGCAAGAACGCTGAAGAACACATATTGAGAAACAGCCAGAAAGAAATTCACTCAGATGTCACAGTTCACAAGCAATTTATTAAGTCAAACTTGTGATAGTTCACCAAAAAATAAATAAATAAATAAATAAATATGTAAATAAATAAATAACTCATCATTTACTCTCCTTTATCTGGTTTTAAACCATGAGTTTCTTTCTTGTTGAACACAAAATAATATATTTTGAAAAGTCCTGGTTTTTGCACCCTCTTGACTCTCATAACATGTTTTAGAATATCTTGAACACAAAGGAAAGAAACTAAACTAGAGTTTGAAGCAAGTAAAGAGTTAGTTAATACTGACTGAATTGTCATTTTGGGTGAACAGAATTTTTTAAGGGGATTTGGCTTAAGGGAGAAGTGTAAATCTGACTCCTGACATATAAGCACAAATATCAACCCAGTACTTTTATGAAACATTCAAGTAAATGTGAAATTTCTATAAGAAACTTGCTAAATACATTTTAAATGCTGTCATGTCATCAGTCTATTAATAATTTACACACAATTTAGTCTTTTTATTTTAAATTTAGCCATTTTCATTTTATATGATAATGTTCTGCCTTCTTTGCATCCTCTAAGAACTTATATAGTATCATATTAGCTTAAGAAAGAGTCTTGGAAGCTATGAAAAAAAGATTATGCATAGAGAGAGACACAAATGAAGCAAAAGTGTACAGGCGACAAGCAGTTCCACATGGAATATCATGCTAACTGTCGCAAGCGGAACTGTTAAGTTTAGTTAGCAGATGTGAAAACAGCTGCCGCCTCGAGTGATTCCATTACTGCACGGAGAGCCGTTTCCCATGATTGTTCCCTTACAGAGCTTTTGACATGGAAGCCTGTGAGGAAGCCAGCCTACAATTACAATGTCAGAAGGATCCAAATGAGGTTTTGGGAGCTGTGGGGATTACAGAAGGTACCTTAAACATTAGTGTTCATTGCTTCGGTGTGATCCATAAAACATAACCTTCTGTTGTTTGTTTTCTCGAGGGCTGAAGCGTTAACCTTTGCCTGGAGCAAATCTGTTTGTAAGCTGAGAGTTAGTTAGCGTAAAATTATTTTTCACCCCTTAAATGGGTGCTAAAATACTGAGTCGTGCTGGCTTTGATTGCGCATGCTCATGGTCGACGCTCTCCCCGAGGTTCTGTGCTCAGTTAATGGTCTCCTAGACTCTCAAAAAAGCAACAGAAGCAATGCTGCACTAATGGAAGAGCTTTTATACACTAGTTTTAGAAGTGGGGGTGAAATGAATGAATTTAAAGGCAAAATTTTTAAGCCAAACAGTCAATCAACAGATTGATTGATTGATTGATATGGATGGATGGATGGATGGATGGATGGATGGATGGATGGATGGATGGATGGATGGATGGATGGATGGATGGATGGATGGATGGAAAATTGGTTGACAAATTGGATTGATGGAAAATATCTTGATAAATTGATGCATGAATGTATTTAAAAATTAATTGAAAGCAAGTGAATGGGTTGATGGATAGATACATGGATGGATAAATAGGGAAAAATATAAATGAATGGGTACATAAAAATAGATGGATGGATGGATGGATGGATGGATGGATGGATGGATGGATGGATGGATGGATGGATTGATGGAAAATAGGTTGGTGAAAATGGATGGATGGAAAATTGGTTGATCAATTGGATAGATAGAAAATATGTTAATTAATTGATGCATGAATAGATGAATATAAAACAAGTGGATGGGCAGATGGATGAATGCATTAATAGGAAAAATTATAAATAAACAGGTATATAAAAATAGGTCAATACATGGATGGATGTATTGATGAATAGATCAATAAATGTTTCGATCAATGAATGGATGTAAAATTGGTTGATGAATTGGATGATTTATGTATGAAAGGATGGATGGAAAATATGTTGATGCATGAATGGATGAAAAACAGGTTTTAAACAAGTGAATAGGTTGATATGAATGGGTGGAAAAATAAAAAAAAGGCATAAAAATGGGAATAAAATTGGTTCATACATGGTTGGATAGATTTATGGATAGGTGTAAAATACGTTGATAAAATGATGCAAGGATGGATGAATATGAAAAAGGGTGAAAAAAAGTAAATGGGTTGGATGAATAGATGGATGAATGGATACATGGAAAAATAGATGAATAGGTAAAAACTATAAATAAATTGTATATAAAAATAGTTGAATACATGGATGGATGAATAAAAGGCTGGATGGATGGATGGATGGATGGATGGATGTATGGAATATGAAAACATGATAAACAGATGGGTACAAAAATAGATAAATGGATGTAGATTAAAGGTTGGTAATGACTGAAACATTTTTAAAATAATTACAAAAATGATAATAAAAAAAAACAGGCTCAATTAAATGCCCATATGTTGCCCTGTAAACCTTGTGTCATTTTAAAGTACACTTCTATTGTAAAAAGTTTAATTAAACTCTCAAACAATAAGTGATTGACAGAGTGAATTTGAAGATTTCACAGTGAAAGAAATGCATTGAAAGCTATCTTTTTTTTTCTATTTGGAAATGGCTGATTTTTATATTATTATATGTTGCATATGACCTTCCCTTGAGTTATCAGGATTTTTTTGTTGTTGTGTAGTGCATGATAAAATGTTGCTTGACAGGTCTGATGTTTAAATCCATTGATAAGAGATTTTGTGGTGGAGGAAGGACTGAGTCAGATGAACGGAGCATAAAAGCATCCTTTGTTCTGCGATTTAATCAACATCCACATGAAGAAGTGCAGTCAAAAAGTTGATTGACAAACAAAAGGAGCTAAACACAAGAATCACAGAAGCAGAAGAAGGCAAGGCTTGCTTATTTACCGCTATGCTGGGCTGGCATATGGTTAGTTTCTCAGATGATTCAGGTACAGTCACGACTAATGCAAAATAGTGACACGTATTTAAAACAAAAAGTTTTTCGAAAAGGGGGTTTGACAGATTTTCTTTTTTAGGGTAAATTTTAATTGAATTTTAAAGAAAAGAAAAAGTAATATTGTGGAATAAAATTAATATATTACATTTATATATTTTATAAATGTAATAATTTTAAAGATGTTTTTATTATTATTTGAATATATTTTAGAATGTAATTAATTCTTTTTGCGTTCAAAAAGGATTTTTTTTTCACATTGTCATTATAGGGTATTATGTGCACAATTTTGAGGAAATATAATAATTGAATCCATTTTAAAATAAGGCTGTAACAAAAAATGTTGAAAAGTGAAGTGCGATGGATGGATGGATGGATGTATGGATGGATGGGGATGGATGGATGTGTATAGATGGATGGATGGATGGATGGATGGATGGAGGGATGGATGGATTGATGGAAGAATGGATGGATGAATGGATGGATGGATGGATGGATGGATGGATGGATGGATGGATGGGTATAGATAGATGGATGGATGGATGAATGGATGGATGGATGGATGGGTATAGATAGATGGATGGGTGGATGGATGGATGGATGGATGGATGGATGGGTGGATAGATGGGTATAGATAGATGGATGGGTGGATGGATGGATGGGTATTGATAGATGGATGGATTGATAGATGGATGGATGGATGGATGGGTATAGATAGATGAATGGGTGGATGGATGGATGGATGGATGGATGGGGGTGGGTTTATGGATGGATGGATGGATGGATGGATGGATGGATGGATAGATGGATAGATAGATAGATAGATAGATAGATAGATAGATAGATAGATAGATAGATAGATAGATAGATAGATAGATAGATAGATAGATAGATTGATTGATTGATTGATTGATTGATTGATTGATTGATTGATTGATTTGCCTGGACCCACAGCAAATTATGCAATAATTTGATGTTATTGCATGCTGGAAACTGTCTTTGCAGAATTGCTTTTGTTAAAAAAATAAAACAAGACTCTTAACAATGTCAAAAGAAAAACCTTTGCTGGGGACATCGTGGAGCGAGGATGAGTAAACTGAAATTGAAAACAGCTTTTAAGTAATTACTGTTTAACCTCTTTGTCTTAAGTTCTCTGTCCAAGATTAATTACACTACACAACACACGATTATAAAGAATAATACAATTCAGATGGAACAGCAGCCTATTAGTTCTGTTAAGTCATCCTTTAATTCGACTGGTATAAAAATACCAGTTGAACAGGTCAAATGATCAGATTTACTCCACCATTTAAGTCATATCAGAGCGTGTGTAGAGTTTCAGTAGAGAAATTCTGTCCACTGTCAGTTCTCATTCAGATCCTGTTGTGTGAAAAAGTGTTGACTGAATTTTCCCACTGAGTTTTCCACAGGTTTAGTTGTTGCCGGATGTAGTTTACAGGAGTCACTCAGCAGTGATTCTGAGCTCCTGGACTATTGGATGGACATCTTGGCTGAGAAACAAATCCTGAAACCACTGGAAGTTTCAGAATTTTCTTTATAAAAAGTCTATCGTTACTTTTTTATCACAAGCTTATTATTCACAGAAAGTGTTTACACTCTTCATGTATTCTTTTCATGAAAATATCAAGTTAATTGTAATTTATCATGCTGTCATTTTGCCATTGAGGATTTGGATCGCGTTGCAGTTGACATTTAAACCTATGCTTTGGTTTCACTCAATTTTAATTACGTTTCATTCATTTACATTTTCCAGTGTGGAAGTGGCAGCACTTGAAATTAATCCGTATTGTTAAGATAACAACTTACAGCAAGATTATGCCTTAGATGTGTGTTCACTTTGAAGATATTGTTTTGTTGTAGGTCTTTTGATTCTAAAATTGATTTCAAAGGTTTTTTTCTTTTCCCTCGTCTTTTATTCTCAGGATACAACTGTGTCCAGCTCATGGCAATCATGGAACATGCCTACTATGCAAGCTTTGGCTATCAAGTCACCAACTTCTTTGCTGCTTCCAGGTACATTTAAAGTTGTGCATTTGTCAGATTTTTTTAATCTAAAATGATTTGCATTGCATTTAACCTTTTGACACGTACAATCTCTCTAGTGTGATCAGTTTTGGTTGGTTCCCGGAGCGTACAATCTCACCAGTGTGATTGGAAAGTTGTCACATGATCAGCTGCTGAATTCAGTTGCTTTGCCACAATGGCTCGTGCTAAACTACAGGGTGGGCCATTTATATGGATACACCTTAATAAAATGGGAATGGTTGGTGATATTAACATCCTGTTTTTGGCACATTAGACACACATTTGACACATCAAACTTATTGGCAATTTTACAAGAAAAACAATGTTTTTCCCAAAATCCATGGTGCGCTTGGTTTTAATGTAACTTTATTCCTTGATGAGTTATTTAAAAGCTTCTGACCACTTATACAATGTTTTCAATCTGCTGCCGATTGTGTTGGATTGCCAATGCAACCCTCTTCTCCCACTCTTCACACACTGATAGCAACACCGCAGGAGAAATGCCAGCACAGGCTTCACATAAACAAAAAAGTGGGGCCATTCTTCATCAATGGAAACCTCACTGGATATTTGACATTGCTACATGATGATGTGTTTCCCACTTTATGCCCTGAAGCTGGCACGTTCCCTGAGTTTTTTCAGCAAGATGGTGCACCACCACATTATGGGTGTCAGGTCCGAGCATTCCTAGATGAACAGTTTCCTTGGTCATCGTGGGCCAGTTGAATGGCCCCCAAGGTCTCCCGACCTGTCCCCTTTTATCTTTGGGGTCAAAATGGGCAGCACATTGAACACATTTTATAAGTGGTCAGAAACTTGTAAATAACTCATTAAAGAATAAAGTTACAATAAAACCATTGTTTTTCTTGTGAAATTCCTAATAAATTTGATGTGTCACATTACCCTCTTCTTATTGAAAAACAAAAGTTAGATCCAAGATGGCCAACTTCAAAAAGGCCACCATGGTCACCACCTATCTTAAAAGTTTGCCCCCTCACATATACTAATGTGCCACAAACAGGACGTTAATATCACCAACCATTCCCATTTTATTAAGGTTTATCCATATAAATGGCCCATCCTGGATAAAAAATGCACCTGTAGCAAATCCCAATTTATCAGTGCTTATTTACAAATAATTGTATTAACTAAGTTTATTTTTGGTTTCAGACATTTAAATCCACCTAAAACATACAATTTATGATTTGTAAAATACATGCTAATGCAAATCTATGTAGATATAATAACTATTATTTTTAAACATTATCAGATGTTGTGCTTTATACACATTTATGCACATCAGATACACACTGTTTAGGTTACTAGATAGGTTAACCAGTTAAAAATATATACAATAGTATTTTGGGTGAAGCTAATGAATTTACAAGCAGCACTGTTCTAAAGAGCAGACTAACATGGCGACCCGCATCAACCACCATAGATTCACCAATATGATTCACTATCAAGCTATTTAATTGACAAAACACATGTTTTACACATATTTAAGAATTTTAATATAAGATGCATTACAATATAACTAGGAAGAGGTGGCACGGTGGCTCAGTCACAGAAGGTTGCTGGTTGGAGTACTGACTGAGCCATGTGGCATTTCTGTGTGGAGTTTGCATGTTTTCCCAGTGTTCATGTGGGTTTCCTCCGCAGTCAAAAGACGTGGTATGAATTGAACTAAATAGTCGATAGCTTGTGTGTGAATGAGAGAGTGTATGGGTGTTTCTACTGCTGGATTGTGGCTGGAAGGGCCACAGTAATTGGGGGTCTATTCCACGTGAATACCCCAGATAAATCAGGGACTAAGCCGAAGGATAGTGACTGAGTGAATAATTAGGAAGTTGTACCTATTAAAAGATAAAGGAAAAAAGATAACACTACATGGATAAATCATCAGGGCTGCAGTGATGTGGAATACATTCTAAATATCACATGTTATTATACTCGCACATGAAGTCAACCGGAGCATTTAAAACGTACAATGTGAAAGAGAGTTCATGGTTTCTCTAAGAGCAAAATTTATGATTCAATGCTAGCAAGCTTTACAAAATACAGAGTACTCTCATGAACCAAAGTTTTACATTGGTGGATGGAAAAACATTTCCCTCTTCATGCTGTTGGTTTACAGCTCTAATATGGAAACTGTGATGTTCTGCTGTGAAAAGTAATGATCCAGTCATTCCCATGGGCCAGAATTTGACAACTACTACTGTATCTACCTAAACATTGCTGCAAATCATTAGTTTTGCATTTCTACCTATACCATAAAGGAACAAATCAACCGTTTGGTCGAGCATGTTTTTGAAAAACTCTTACAAACACACTAAATATTTTTCATAGCACCAAGCAACATAAATTTGAAAAGTTAGGGCTCTGAGACGGTAATATGTCTAAAAAAAATAGAGGGTGCTCGCAGCAGAGCCATTTGAGCAGAGCTGAGCTCCAGCGAGGGGGAGCATGAGCTCTCGTTCTGCCTCCTGTAAGCTGTTTTAATGCGTACACCAACTCCACCCCTAACCCTACCCCCAGTGACATCACTCGTAGAAGAAGTGCAAAAAAGGTGGAGCTCAAGCTGGAGCTCAATAGCTCTGCAGCGAGCACCACCTGAACAAAAAAAAGCTTACGTTGCAAATTTCATCAAAAACAGTTGAAATGTAAGGAGTGATTTCCTTGGATGTCAGTTCACATGTCAGGAGTGATTGCCTTGTTTGATTTCAATGGTAGAAGTAATGTTGTTGCGAGTGCTGTTGATTGAGTTAGTGAGTGGATTTTTTTGGCTTAACATACTTCAACCAAGTGGTAGAGATGGCTCAATCAGGTTTAAATAAGTGCTCTCAATAAGATATGGTCAGTCAAAATATGTTCGGGACCGACAAGTTTGATCTGAAAAGGTTCTAACCTATTTGACTTTAACGATGTTACACAAAAGTATTGCTGCCAGTTACCACAAGACATGTACCCTTGGGTAGACTCCATGCCTTGGCATGGTTGTTTTCACAGCACACAGAGGACCAATAGTATATGAACTGCTCTTCATAATGTTTAGACTGTTTATTGCAAATATTTGCTGATTGAGTGGTTTAGTAGATAATGAACTGGGATGGTTGTGGATGCAAATTCCCCATCAACTAAATACTGCCTTATTTATGCAGGGACGCTACAAATTTGCTGAAATAAAGAGTACAAAGCCTTTGTCTTCAAAACAATGCAAAGAAGAATAAAACACAGCCTCTGCTATACAGGATGCAATTACATTTCCCTCTTGAAGCTGTCAGACCACTAACAGCTTTAAAGTTGCTAGGGCAGTTATGGATTGTATTTTTAAGGATGAAGGTTAACGTCTACGTCCCGAAAGAAATTATTTTCACCTCGAGACTTCAGATCCAGTTGTTCCGGATGTGGCTACAACATGCACTTCTCCTTCACCAAAACGCATTAGCATGCTGTGCCCTGGTCACATTTTATTTATTAGCATTATATCTACAAGGCCTGGTAGACTGAGCGTGTGACAGTATCTAAATGCTTTTCATTTTCCTTTAGAGCTCAGAGTTTGGTGGGGTTGTCTCTCAGCCCGTGCAGCAGTAATTCCAGTCTTTAAATCAGGATGAGGTCCTCTGTCAAGGGCAGTAATCTTACTGTAAACACATTTGCCGCTAATCCCCAAATAGAAGAAAGCTCTGATAAATAACAATAGTAAAAAAAAAACAGAATTGGGTCTCCAAAATAAATAAACTCTCATGAAAGAAAATTGCGTCTTTGAATGTGGGGAGTGAGCAACTCCCTCAACCTAATAAGATATGACAGAGTCATTGGGAATCTTTATTTGGCTTTGGCTGGCTGAGGCGGCCGGCACTGGTGGACCAGTCCAGATAAAGTGCAATGTATACAGAGTAATTTCACTCATGATTGATCACTCATGGACATTTAAGACCTATTCCTCTTTCTGCCGGGGTTGAGGGAGTGAGTGAGGGAGGTGACTTGGAATATCATTAGCTCTCGTCTCACTTTTCTTGTTCTTTGTCCTGATATCTTTTAACCCTGCAAAATAGATATACCGCCAGGCATTCTGGGAGTTCAGGGAGAGAATTTGTTTTGTGATTTAGGCCTTGAATCGGAATCCACTCGTCTGTGGAGGATCTTGTATTAGTTGTGGATTGTTTAGCTTTAGCTGTTAGCTAGCAGATGCTGTTAGCCCATTATGCTGGCAAAAATAATCTTTATTTTTTTCTTTCTTTGACCACCATTGATGGTCATTGAACATATTCATATTCTTTCGCGTTTGTAAGCAACATGTAAATAAAAAAATGCTATTTGATGATACATTGCAGTTATAACGTACTATTAACTTTACAACATATTTATTTGAAAATTGTACTAAATATTATATTTTTAACTAAACAATAATATAGTATTTTATTTAATAATATTTTAAATACTGAATAAAACAAAATGTTGCCATCAAGTGGAAATTGTGTAGCTTGTTGACATTTAAACAGACTTTAACATGCAACCTTTCAGTTATTAATGAACTTGCTTACACCAGCTCATATCCATCAACTTATCAAAAAAAATACTCCAATTCACTTTAGAAACCACGTCTTGTCTTTTCCATCAGCCGCTTTGGCACTCCTGATGATCTGAAGCATCTGGTAGATACGGCACACTCCATGGGCATTGCTGTTCTGCTGGATGTGGTCCACAGTCACGCCTCCAGCAACACAGAGGATGGACTCAACTACTTCGATGGGACTGACTCCTGCTTCTTTCATGGAGGCTCCAGAGGCAAACACTCACTCTGGGACAGTCGACTCTTCAATTACTCCAGGTGAGGCAGTTCTGAGACAGTGAATACAACTGTACTGTTTTGTGGTAGACTGGGTTTATGATTAGTTTATTTAATACTATCGAGAATATCTTTTTTTTAATTTTGCATCCATTTTCTTAATCTCTTAATAGCTCTAAACAGTACTGCCCACTGAAAGCTGATTATTGTAGATGGTTGAGCAGCTTAATTCACCCAAAAATAAACATTTGCTGTTAATTTACTCTTAGGGCATTCATGATGTTGGTGTGTTTTTTTTTCAGTCAAACATTAAAAAGTTTACCACTCAGAGAGTAAAACAATATATATATATATAGATAAAAAACTAATTAATTAATGCACATGGATTCACTTAAATACATTTGCATGTTCACAATTACCAGATTATATATATATATATATGCATATATGCATACACACATATACATACATATATATATATATATATATATATATATATATATATATATATATATATATATATATATATATATATATATATACTATATGTACTATATGTGTATATGTATGTATATGTGTTTGTATATATATATATATATATTGTATATATATATATAATTGTTATAATTGAATTATCAACTAACAGGGTTGGGAAAACCTGACATAATATATAGATTTAAACACTTTATGTTGTTCATAATGTTAATAATAAATAATAAAATGTACTCTATTTGCATTACCTAAAATATGTAATGCTACAATGTTCAATGTTTATTATGTCATTTGTAATCAATAATAGATTACACTGTATACATAACATTAAATGTTGTATGATCGTTTAGTGAATGCGATACATATTGCTCAAATTTCCTAATCTTGTTCTATACAATTAGCTCTCATTTGTAAATATCAATCACCCCTTGAGTTTTCTTCAAGCATTAGCATGCTAATGGAGCTCTAATGGATCTTAATGGCATCTTAAGACATATAAGAGGTACTACTTTTGTTTCCTGAACCATCACAGATGTTCAGCTTTGATTCACTCTGATGCAGCACATCTTGTATGTGGTACTTCACAGCTTGCAAACAAGCTCTTTTTGGTGAATCTTCAGTCTGTGCTGTCTTACTTGCTAGCCATTTTTTATACGCCCCATGATGCTTCGCATACATTATGAGAGTATTTTTCAGTAAACTGTAAACATTGTGTTAAAAAATAGTTACATTTTTAAAGAAAATATTACAATGTCATTATTTTCCTCAACGTTTAACCATCAAAACTAATTTTTACATTTAACATATTACTTACAGCTCAACACAAATGACAAATAACAAAAAAAAAACTCTAAACAAGGGTTTTTGCAGAGATGTTATGGACCTACATTGAAAAACCACTGTACTGTAAGAAATACAAAGAGAAAATTATTTGAAAACAGATCAGGAAAACCAGATTCAGCTGTGTAGAGCAAGGTTATTTTTAAAAGTAATGCATCATAATCACATTTTACTACTTCTAAAAATATCTAAATGTGCTTAGTTGTTGTTTCAAGGAAATGTGTCCATTATGTTACATTTGTGTTCCTTTTTGCATCTGGGCTGGGCTTCCTTGTTATAAGTCGTAATAGAACAAGAGTTCAGTAACACTTTACTTAAAGGTTGTGTTTATAAGACTGTCATGAAACCATGTCAAGTTGTCATGACAGAGAGGTTTTGGTATTGATGTTTATTCCAAGTTGACACAACATCTTAATCAATGTCATTTTTGCAGTTAAAATGACATAACCAGCCAATCAGAATGCATCACTCGACTGAATGGGCGTTATCAGTGATTATCACCTGATAGATATGGGCCAGTGGGGGCCTTCTGTGCCTACTGATAGGCTCAGAAGGCTGTTATCATCAATCCACATGGTTAATCAGCTGGAGATCACATACGGCTGCGACCGAAAAATAATGAGAATTTCATTAAATTATTTATTTTTATTTATTTATGAATTATTATTAATAATTATATTATTTTTATTTTTTATTTTTTTATTATTTTATTATTTTTATTAAATTTCCCATTAATTGTATTTCATTAACATACCCCAACCCTAAACTTAACCGTCACAGTAATGTAAAAACAGATCTGGATCCGGAGTCTTCTCTTTTAGTAGCTGATCAACTCTGTGAATGGATGATAACAGTCTTCTAAACCTACCAGTAGGCGCAGAAGGCCTCTACTTGCCCATATCTTTCAGCTGATAAACACTAATAACGCCCATTCAATCGAGTGATAATATTCAAAGCAGGTGCCATAACTGATTGTCAAGCAATTGTCATAAGCATGCATAAAATCTCCATATTCATGATGTGTGTCCAATGAACATCCCCTTCAATTAAAGTTAATGAAGAATAGTATGCAAATAAATGTTCAACACTTTTTAATAATGAATATTTTAAGAGCATTTTTATTCATTTTAAGAGGTACTGCATTGGTTTATTGTACAAGTGAGATGAGTAATACATTTTCACATTTTAGACAGGGTCTAAAGTAACATATTTACCCATTGTTTACAACAGATCTACAGTTACTCCTGATTCCACTCAACACAGGGACTAGAGAGCTGTCAGTCAGTAAATGCATAAAGTAACTTATCTTTTCAAAATAACTGTATTTTCTTCGCAATGAAATATAACTATTACATTACTTGCCACTTGAAAAAGTAATCTGATTACATTACATTTGTTATTCGACGTGCATTACACGCATGTGTAAAAAAAGCGGGATAATACCTTTACAAAATGTCTCTCGGTCTCCTCTCGGAGATGACAGGCTCTCTTTACGCCTCCTCTCAGCTCTGATCCATTAGAGGTCTCAGTGCTGCCCTCCGTTGCCCTCTTCTGTAATGGGATTTCACATCATTGTTGTTTGAATCTGAAGTCATGCCTCACCCACCAAAATGATAGTCCTGTCTGCCGGTTACCTCTGCGAATGAACATTGATTTTTGGTCATATCTTTGTTATTGATTCTGGCTGTATGCCTTTTGTTCCTTCTGTTTTCTCTTCCCGGGTCCCTGTTCGCCGCTGGCAACATTTTAATGTTTTTTTTTTTTTTTTTTTTTTTACATACTGTTGCTTGGTAGAGATAGAATGGAGGATAAGTGAAATGGGTACTGGTCAGTGTTCAAGTGGCGAACATTGCTCTTTAGTCTGTGTAACAGCACAGTATTTAGCTCTGAGTTTATCTTTGTATGTTGTGTCTGTAAAAAAGCTGTGATTAGGATTTTTGTGATATTAAATTATTAAATAATTATTTTGTTAAACTGTAAGTCTAGATATACTGCTTTTAATCAAGTCAAAAATGTCTATATTTAGTAACAGCTCTTTTATCTATTAAATCAGGTAAGTGAATTTTACATTCTCGTTTTTGTAAATCTATTACTTTAACTTTCATTTACAGGGTGTCTGTGGGGTCTTTAAAAGTAAAGAAATTTGTAAAATTTCTAAAACAAAATTTCAGGCCTTAAAAAGTTATATATAGACTGAAATATTATGTTACAGGTCTTAAATCATTTTAAACAGGCTTAATTTCTTTATGTACATGTAAAGCATTGGGCCAACACCCATCCAATCACTAACAATCCATCTCGATAAAAATACCAATATGTTTCAATTATTTAATTAAATACAATATGGTTTAATTATCTTCCTTACAATAACAATTGTTTAGAATTTTAGCAGCTACCAAGTGAAGCCACTGACCCGTATAGACTGGATTGCACACATTAAGTTTGTCATAGTTTTAAATGTATTTATTTTTTTAAGAGAAAGTGTTTTATAGAGATTTATGCTTGCAGTGTATACAACTAGTTTTTCGTTTTTACACATTTAAAATATGTGCCCAATAACTAACTAGAGTTTTTATGTGGCAATTAAAAACAAATTCTACTGGCCCATCCAGGCCATTTAAAATCCTTAGCATTTAGCCCTGTGTAAAGGCTGATTTATACTTTTGCATCAAGTGATGTAGTCATGCATTCATACTTCTGCATGCTGTTTGTGTTGCTCTGCGATAACACCTCAGAAACACTGGCAGGTTTTTATGTTCCTCTGTGTCGAGTTTCTTCGCAGGTGTTTATTTATTTATTTTTTCTGAATGCTACAAGTAGCTCAAACTTGCTCATTCAGAGGCTGGCACCGATGATCATGCAACAATTTTAAATATAAGGTAAACAAAAAAACAAAAGTCTCTATCTAGAGCTCATTCACAGGGCTCGATACTTGTAAATACTCACTCCATTGGGCTTGAATCTCTCAACACCACCCACATTCGTCATCACTACCAAGTTGACCAATCACAAAGCTTATGCTACACATTGTTGCAATGTGTGTTTAAATTTTTTGAGAGGTGCACGTCAGCCATGGTGAGGGCTATGCCACCGCATGAAGGCTCCACCAAACCATATGCGTGAGCTTGACACAGAAGTATAAATCAGCCTTAAGTCTGACATTTCATTCATAATGATCTTTAAAATGGTGAAAAACATGCTAAAACCTGCAGAAACCCTGTAAATATACAGTTGAAGTCAGAATTATTAGCCCCCCTTTTAATTTGTTTTTTTCTTTTTAAATATATCTGAAATAATGTTTAACAGAGCAAGGAAATTCTCACAGTATGTCTGACCATATTTTTTCTTCTGGAGAAAGTCTTTTTTGCTTTATTTTGGCTATAATAAAAGCAGTTCTTAATTAAATAGTTATTAATTTTTCAAAATGTAATTTCCTGGTAGCACCATCTAACATCAAATAATAAGCCTTGGAATTAATATTAGAAAAGAAGGAGAAAAAATACCATGAAACCCTGGAAACTGCATGGCAAAAAGCATAAAAACAAAACAAAATGCTAAAAGACAAGCTTGTTTAAACAACACATCTCTCATGCTGACCGTCCTGTCGAATTAATCTTGAAAATAACACAGATGGGTTTCAAATATTGTAATGTCGTTATACTCTACAGATTGTCATTACACAGTATATACTTAATACGTTTCAGATTGTT